TGTCTTTGTAGTTCATTCTCACATTCTTTTGGCATGCACTTACTGAGCATCTGCTATATACAGAGCTGTGTGTTAGGCATCCCTCACCATGGAGATGTGGGCTTTATACAGCTCACCATTGTAAGAATTTTCACAAAACTCAAGAGAGACTTTTATATATGACATTATCTTCTTTCCTTGAGGATATTTCAAAAAGTGAAACTGTCTACATAAGCCCAATCCCAAAGTTTTTCATTCTAGAGACAGCCTATTGTAAGGAGACATTTTTCCCAGGAAAACTGCTCCTTGGTAGCACAAGTGAGCTATTGACTTCCCACTGTTTTTGTCTGAACTCTCTTCCTCATTCTGTCTGTGGGCCTTTGGCCTGGCCCAGTTTCCCTTCACAAAGCTGAGGCACTAACCTTGTTTTCTACTTCAAAAAGTTGACAGAGGCTAGAAGAAGACATGGCTTGCTAATGACTTCCAGACAGAGAAATGCTAAGAAAAAGCTAATGGCTTGTCAACCTCCTTTCCCAGGTGTCTTGTGTAGTGCAGGATCTTCAGTGTCTGGCATTAAGCAACAGAGAGGATAATGTACAAAGCTGGCAAATATCAGCTCATTTATTTCTAATGCAAAGAAAGCACCCAAGAGTTTTCTAGATTTCTCCATATAACAACCCAACAACATGTGAAAATGTAAGGAATTTGAGAAGAGTACTATGTGTACAATAACTCTGACAAATGACAGTCTGCTGTGGCAAAATGACGAAGGTAAGAGGAACATAAATAATTCATGCTGCACTGTAAAGATTGTGAAAGTGCACAAGGACAACCAACCTTGTCTCTGCTTAACACATACACACATTTAATTGGAAATCTAAATAATATATTAAGTTTTCTGTGTTGGAATTACTCTATGCATGTTTATTTATCTGCCCCAGGATGAGGTGATTTCCAGTGGCGTGTTCAGATGGCTTTATTCAACGGCAGCAGGCCACCACTGTCAATCATGTTTCCTTTTGTGTTGATGGGGAGTTTTATCCTCTCAGGGGAGGTGGTTGACAATTGGGCTACAGTTGCTACACCATGTCCATCTGTATCACTAACCTTTGAGAAAAGTGAGCAGCCTCCCTCCCTCTCTCTCTCTCTCTCTCTCTCTCTCTCTCTCTCTCCTCCCCTTTCCTATCCCCCTCCCTCCCCCTTTCTCCACTACCCTTTCCTCCCTTCATAATTAGCAGAAATTTTCAGTTTTACTCAATGTTTCTAATTAGGCAAAGATTCTTCTGTGTTCCACTTATACCAATATTTAAAGCTTTTCTATAAGAAACTGAAATTCTACAGAGTGGACAGAAATGATTCCCTATAAAAAGCAAGTGTGGTTCCCTCTAACTAGAGGTGCAACCAAATTTTTATCTTTTACTTCAATTCCAGGAAAATCTCATTCTCATCAAGAAAACTATATCAGAAGAAAAGCAGACCATTCTGTTGTATTTGGATTATTTAACCAATTTGCCAAGGTGCTAAAAAGACTGGGCTTTATTATCATGAGTGTAGAAGGTTTTTGAAAGCAGGGAGAAGTTACAACCTTTTTTCTTGTGGTGGCTGTGATAGCAATCAAGAGATTATTTCAGGGAAAGAAAAATATCCCTTTGGCTTTTAAGATAGCCAATAAGCTTTTGTAAGCAGGCAACCAAAGATTACACTGTACTATCATTTAGGTCTTAATATTAAATTAAATTTGCATTTTCAAAGCATTCTTTGTTAGAACTATGTTAATAATAAGAGACTTTAGCTGAATGGATGTTATTGCAAAGGACACCAAAGTGATGAATACAGGATCTAGGACAGCTTTAATGAGAAAGAACAAATAAGAAATGAGCTGGGTGAAATGGTGCATACCTGTAATCCCAGCACTCAGGAGGCCGAGACAGGAGGATGGCTGTGAGTTCTAGGACAGCCTGAGCTACACAGTGAGCTCAAGGATAGCCTGAACTTCAAAATAAAAAAAATAGGAAACAAATTTCAACTATATAATAGCAAAGGGAGCTCTGGAAGCTGAATGGTGTATGTATAACACCAGTAATTAGAAGACTGGGCAGTGATTATGAGGTTTGACTCCTCTTAGGAAGTTTCAGAGTTGGGAAGCAGCTTGGCATAGTGGAAAGGGGATGAGTTTTGGGATTAGACAGACAGCTCTGGTTGAAAATCCTGTACAAGAAAGCTACCCTCTAGGGCTACTGGGAAGATTAATAGGCCTGCTTTTGTCAAGTGTCAAATATGTAGGTCCCCAGTAACTATTAGCTATTGTTGCCTTAGTTTGATATATAAATTTCAAAGAGGATCATATAAGCTAGTATGAGTAAGAGTGATTTTTAAAAATAAACTTTAGCCGGGGATTTAGCTCAGTGGTGCTGCCACCTGCCTTGGAAGGGGAAGGTCTTGAGTTTGATCCCTGGTACAAAAAAAAAACAACAAAAAACTTTAAAAGATAAAACTCTCATCATGGTCACTATAGAAGACTTTCTTAGGATACTTTTCTGAGCATCTGGGTAAGAGGATAGACAGGTTGTTTCTGCTTGGGAAGCAGAAGTTATTTTGTTGGCACTTCTAAGAATCTCTGGGATGCTTAATGGAGAGAATGTGTAGGGAAAAGAGGAGAAATAGATGAAAGGGGAAAAGGAGAAGAAGAAAGAGCGGGAGTAAGAATTGTCCTGGAGGTGATAGTAAAACATTTTACTATTCTGTTTTAAAATGTGTGTTATTTTGAAAAGACCAAAAGGTGTTCTACTATAATAATAAATATGATTGCCTTCAAAAGATGAGAGTATCAAAAAATTTTCCCCTGATCTTTTGTAGTTCCCAAAATTTCTGTTTTGAGGAAGCATATATTTTATAATTAGAAAAAATCAAATGTTATGGGATCTTTCTTAATTATTTGAATGTCGTATGTCTTTTCATGGCCCAAACATTACTTTGAAAAAGTGATTTTGAGCTAATGGTCAAATGTACCCAAATAGGATGTGAGGGCTTTAGAAATTCAATTTCCAGGCTCAGAAATTACCAAGACCAAGGTAAATCAGTACCCTTAACTCCTTTAATGTTTATGAAAGGCAAAGGACAGAGTGTTTCATATGAGGGAGGCAAGCTAAGTATACACAAGTCTAATCTTTGACAAAGCAAAGTCATTTTCTAAGGACCCTGACTTTTTCTCTGTGACTTTTCTCCAATTTCCAGAACTTTGATTTCAGGGTGTGAGGCAATCTTTGAGGAAGAGATATTAGATAGCATTTTGTTCCACTGGGAACCTTAGTATACGTGAGTACATTTGACAAATGCTGGCCTATCCCACTGGAGCTAACAGCCTCATTCTCTTCTGTCTGCTCACCAGTGAGAAAGGCTGTAGAACTTGTGGGCATCTTAAGTGACTTTTATTGACACAGTTATTTTTTTCAAACAGTCAGTTTGGGTTGCAACATTTCAATCCCTGGGGAACTTCAGCACTAGCAAACTGTCTCAGAAAATCAGTAAATTCTATGGTTCCTTTTAAGATAGAAACATATTAAGTTTTCCACGTCTTGCTCGTATGAATACATCTCCCTACATATTGACAATGGTGGAACTGCCCATGCATGTGAGCTCATGAAAAGAAGGGAAATACTGTTATATCAGATGGGATAGGGTTATAATTAAAGAAGGGTTTAATATGTTTGGGAGGAATGTCAGATAAGGGATGGGTGTTCTGGAAAGATGATAACGTTAAATGACAACAAAAAATTTAAGTGGTTAAGATTGTTGAGAAAGAGTAATATAGCTCTGGGGATATGTAGTAAGAAATCAAAGGACATGACTGTTTAAGGACTTTAGTGATATAGAATGAAAAGTCACATGTAATTACAGAAATTTAGTGACCCCTAGGCCAGAGTCTTGAAGAGTCATGAAGTAGCAAAGTAAGAAGATATAAAGAGGAATATTTGCTAGAATCATTTTCTATTCCATCTTTCCTTGGAATCTTTCCACCTTATATTGATTTCTCTTACTTGTCTTCTGAATGTATCATCTCTCAACTCTTGGTAGATAAAGGTAATATAATACTTTGATCAATGTGGAGAAACTAACTGCTATGGTCTGAATTGTGTTTCCCTAAATTTATACCCTAACCCCCAATGTGTATGGAAATAGGGCTGATAGTAGATAATTCAGGTTAAAAGAGGTCATAAGAATAGGATACTGATCTAATAGAATTGGTATCTTTATAAGAAGGGGAAGATTTCTGTGTGTGTGTGTGTGTGTGTGCATGTGTGCACTTGTATGTTCATGTACTGAGAAAAGATTATGTGAGGACACAGAGAAAGCCATGTACAACCTAAGAGAGAGTTCGTCTAGACACTGAGCATGTTGTACCTAGCTTTGGGACTCACTGGCCTTTAGCACCATGAGAAAATCAATTTCTTTTGCTGAAGCTATCAGTGTGCAGTATTTTGTTATGGCAGCCGGAGCTAAGACACTAACAGTGTTATGAGGTTTGATGGGAGGTAGTGGTTGTTTATCTGGGCAGAATGTTGGTCCCCAGGATTTTTTAAAACAATTAAGCTTGGTTTTAAAAATCTCATTTCTTACAGTTTCCTGACAGAAATCACATTTCTTGACAATTTCCCCATCATTTGTGGTGATATTTTACACACCCATATGTATGTGTGAGTGAAAGATAAATTACCTTATACCTTGAAAGGCCCATTTCTTCACACCCATTTATTTATCTCATGTAAGACCAGAGTCAGCCTTGAATGGAATAGTCAGAAAGGTGTATTCTTGATTTATCTCAACTCTAAATCTTGAACAGTTTTATTTTACTGCCCTCCCTCAAGCTTAGATATCCAAGGACTAAGATGCCAATGAATATAAGCTTCTATTATAATATATAATAATGAAAAGTAGTAATGAAATAAAAAATAATAGAAACATGAGTGTTGTTTTAGAACACTTAAAATACATTTTATAGGAAAGTATTTTATTTTTGTGTCTCAACAGATGGAATTCATAACCTTATTTTCTGATAAGACAATTCAAACATACAAATCAGTTACAACAATGTGGTTATCAGCTCCTCCCTCCCACCCCTATAATTTAAAGCAACTGACAGTTTCAAAAGACACCAAGACAATAGGGCTTAGTTAAACAATATGGCAGTTCAAATGGCCCTCTAAGAAAATAATTACAATAGTTCTTCAAAAGAAGTTTTCCTTTGAGCAAAACAGACTGAATGAAAAGAACCATCATGAAATGAAGATTATAGTTTCCCTTCCAATAAAAGGGAAAAGGGATGTATGTTAAAACAGTGGTATAGAAAACTGGGGAGTCAGACTGAAAACAACAGAAAGCCCTAGGTAAAAAAACCTTCTCCAATTTAAAATGCATCCCCTTGAAGATATCCATTCAAACTCTTGTTTCATATTGAAATGAATGTTTCCCCTACTCCTAGTGCCTGGAAGTGAATTATTTTTCTACGTTGTTAAAGTTAATAGTTTTTCCAAACTAGCATCTCTCAAGAAGAGATGAGAATGTTATTTTGTAGAAGTCAGTGATTTTAAAGATAAACCAGCCAACTGATGCCAGTATCATTTTAGTCTCTAGCCATAAAGGGAGGAAACATATCCTGGCAGACCTGTGGCTCCCAGGGTGGAGGGATTCATACCCACTGATTCCTTGTAGTCACTCTAAATTCTATAGCACCTTTAATATGTGTTCTCAATTCTATGTGTCGTTTCCTCATTCTTTTCACAGTATGCCTCACAGCACCCTTGTGAGGTAGGTAGTGTTATGGTCATTTTGCAAGATGGGGACGCAGAAATGTTCAGTAGCTTGCCCATAGAGAAACACGAATCCAGTGACAGAGCCTTGGGGACTCTTACTCTAGATCCCTGTCTTTTTAATACTTAACTATTCTGACTCCCTGAGAGTGGATCATTAAAGCGAGTAGGTCCTTAATGCCAGACTCACGCCTGGTCAGTTGGACATTAAGGGCCATTTCTAAACCACATGATTTGTATGATAGAATGAGAAATTGGTCATGAGCAATATGGAAGTCAAAAAGTTAATATGGATTAAAGTTTGAAGACATTTTGATGGCTTTACTGATGTGCTGTTAAGTCACTATGATCATGGATATTTAGTAGATATTACATGATTAAATAAAGGAATTAATGAATGGATGAAAGAGATTATGCTTGCATATGTGGAAAATTAAATTTTCTACAACTTTTAAAACAAAATCTAGAGAAATCTGATGGACAATTTTTTAATAAAAAATGATAAGGAAGTAGTTTCCTGAATTTTCTGTGGGTATTTGAGCTAATATTGACAGCATTTAAAAACATATAAATACAAAGACATTTAAAATGATTTTCAATATAGAATTTGTTACTTATTGGTTTGGAACCCAAACCAAGATTACTATGAGAGGCAGTGCAACATACAAACACCATCCATTTTCCTATACAATTAAAAATTCTCTTGTATATGCTTATTTGCTCTTTACCATTCACGTGAAAAACTTGGGCTCTACAGTTCTTATAAAATGCTATTTTGAAAAAATATTGAGCTACCTAAACAATGAACTACTTCTTTGCATTTACCAACCAGCAGACATTTTTCAGTTACTTTCCATTTCTTTGAACCTATTTTTCTTTTCTTTTCTTTTCTTTTTTTCATTCCAGAAGACTCAGGGCCCAAACCAGTGTTTTTATATTGAAGCCAAACCTATGTAATATCAGTAACTTTCTTCAAGCATTGCCATGAAGGGCTCTTGAGACTAGTCAAGTACAGGCAACTGGAATGCTGATATAGAAGAGTTTATATAGATCAGGATGGTGAAGCTGACTTGGTTGTCTCTTTGCATTACACAGTTGTTCTGGGCCCAGTGAAGTAATTCCCTAAAGGATGTTTGAGAAGATATATTGTGAGCCATAAGAATTCTGGATGCCATATAGTGTGTTTGTATGAGTGTGTGTTTAAAGAAATATTTGCTTAACTTTCATGAGCGCTCTGAATGTTTATAATGGATGTAACCTATTAGTCTTTTGTACATGTAGCTAATAGCCCTTGGCTAAATGAATAGGTTAGATGTAGTGAATAGCTTTTGTGCTGCAGTACCAGAATGTGCAATCTCTTGTGCTAAGGAATAACATGACTAGTGAGGCTGTGCTTTAAAAATATTTGCCTTAGAGGGAGATCTGGTAAATAGATTCATTTTCTAATATAAAAATAAAAATAATAAAATACAGTATAGATACAACTTTTGCAATCACATACAAGATTTAAGTCTTTCAATCAAAGAAGCAATCTATCTAGTAGCATGTTAGACTAGTAGACTCTCCTAGGGTTTTCAAATATCAGACACTGACTTCTGAATGACTGGGTTGTATTGTTTGTTTTCATTATTGGTGTTCAAGCAGAATAGCGAGAATCTTCAGATAGGCCATATATCTTCCTCTGCCATTTCTTCCTCATCTGTTTTATCGATATTACTCATAGTATAAAAGTATATTTGTGTGTGTGTATCTGGCATTAAAATACATGTACTATTTAGAGAGATTTATTGACATGTTCTGATTTATCAAGTTCAGGGTATTATGGAATGAAACAATGCCTGCATATCTATAACAAGGGTTTTCCGTCCCAGTCCAAGATTTTTTGTAGAGGGTCACAATTTTTGCATTAGTTATTTATAATAGTTGATGAAAGGCACTAGAGTGACAAGCCCTAGAACCCAATGTCTCAGATTTTCGACCAATCAGTAGTAGAAAACCAGGTGAATTTCTGCTGAGGTTTATCTGTCTTCTCCTTAATTTGGCTTTTTTGGACATGAATCTTTATGCCTTGTGTTTTGAGTCTGATGATAAGCTAATTAAGAATATAGGGTTATGTAATAGACTTATCTGCCCTAAATATAAATTATGGGTTCCTACCTACTCTCTTTGACTATGTCAAATGACAAATAACAGACAGCTAGGTATGCTCATGGAAGGAAAATGAGAAAAACAAGACACAAAAATGGAAACAGAAAAGTATGATGAACTTATAAATTTATGAAGTAACACATGGCCAGAAATTCTTTACAAATATGGAGTCAGGTTGCTGAGTTTTTTAATAATTTGATATCACTGAATTATCTCTTTCCCATTACTTATGAATAAGTCATAGTGTTGGAACCATCTTAACTCTGATCAACAAGTTTCCTGGATAAGCAAACCTGTGATATTAGTTGGCAAAGATGTGTATGCAATACATTCAGAACTATGTCTAAGGGAAATAGCTTTTGTTTTAGTCATACTAGTTTAGTGCTCACTGTCAGAGACCTGACTCCTGCTCAAGCAGCTCTGGTATTACCAAAACATTTTCAAGGAAAAGGAAATCTTCGTCTGGTGGCAAACTATCCATTCTGCAATTAAATAACAGCGCAGCAGTCTTTTCTGAATCTCTTGATAGCAGCCTCAGAATTTGTGTGTTTGCTGCTGCCTAGAGGTGAATCTCAGGTTTTCTTGTCATCTAACAAATACATCTTCCAGTCACCATTACTGTCAGCTTTGTGCTTCCACCTACACCTACATCCCCTTCACTGGAAGGCATTGGATGAATAGCAGGGGGAAAAGACAATGCGATAGCTGGTGACAGCTACCTGAGCACATCTCCCCAAAGCCCATTCCCTTAAATGCCCAAAAGGAAGAGGAGCATCTTCCCTCTCAGCAGGAAAACTGTACAGGAATAATTTTAAAATTTTCAATTCATTTCTTCTTTAACACTAGAGAACTTTTTCTCATTACAATGTTCTTGAAGACAATTTTTTTCTTTTTAATATTAATGTTCATTCCTTTCTACTTTATATGAGGTTTTGGATCATGAAAATCTGGCTGAGTGAAAACTAACACAAACTAAATGATGTTGTAGGTATGGCTTGCTGAACCCTTCCAAGTCAAATGAAATTGAGATCATTTTGTAAGTGAGAGAAGATTTATTTTCACTAAAGTAGAATATCTTTATAGTAGCATTGACAGTGCATAGATTTTAATATCCAGCAGGTCAAACCTGACCCCTTTGTGACTTTAAATGAAGAACCTGGTAGCCTGTCTCCTGCTTGCTTTCTGCATGGTCTCCACTCACTGCACCATTGGGACAGGAGTCCGCTGGATGGCCCCTTCAGACAGCTTTGTAGAATATTTCATCAATATAGTGCTAACACAACTTAACAACCTTCTGTTCCTCGTGAGGCTCATGTAACCTACTTTTCTCAGTAAGAAAATATTTTCCATATGACTCCAATTACCTTTTATTACATTTCATTTCTTAATAATAGCCCAATGGATTCAGCTGAGATGTCAGATGCTTAAGCCCTTTTTATCAGCAAAGCAAATGTGTTCTAACTTATTTTACATGTAAATAAGTTCACTTAATTTTACATGTTAAAAAAACATGCCCACACAATTACCCAATAATAACAGTCAATAAGATGTAAACCTAAATCAAGATAGTTTTATCTTTAGCATTAATTTTTTAAGAACAAAAGCAAGCTATCTGGCATTTTTAAGAAAAGTTTTGTTAAGATGTTGGTTAGTAACTTCCAATTGTGGAATACTCCCAGAGTGAGATTTTGATAAAGACAGTAAAGAAAAATACAGAGACACATTTTCTTTTCCCCTCCTGTTCAAAGTTATCAACTTTTAAAATAGTTACATTTTAAACACTTAAAAAATCAAACTACCCTCCCCCACATATTTATATATATATATAAACAATAGTTTTTAAAATTAAGATTTGGGGCATTCTACATCTAATGGATAAAACATGTGAAGACAACTGTCTTGCTCATCAAGTGACCCAGATGTGTATGATGCATCTAATTTTATCACCGAAGGAAGAGAGCATCCTTTCTTCCAGATGGCATCTAGTTTTCTCATGACTCAATTTCAATCTGGCACTGTCACAAAGATGTGTGTCTGAGTCAGTATGCAGCTGGACATACACTGTTGTTATAAGGAATGGGAGAAGTTTTTACAAACCTGAGTTAGTCTTCTGATTAATTTTTGTTGATTATAATTTGTAGATTTTATTGATTATATTGAAGTGTAGATTAAATCAATTCAGAATGGGAAGTGTGCAACAAAATGAAAAATAACATAGCAACAAAATTTCTGCTTTTTAAATTTTAAAAATATATTTGGTCCTGTTAGATCAAGTGTACAATCTGACCCATTTTGTGTGGCCAGGAGAGTTAACCATTTGCACTTTATTGGGATTAATATAGTTAACCAATCTAGAGAACATAAATTTGCATTTTTGTTATCTCCTAATGGCAATTTAGCATACTAAGGGTAGATCCTTCCTTTAAATGTGAAGTACTCTCTTGATTATGCCAGCTCTTTGTTTCATTCTGCTAAGGCTATAAATAAATCTTCCTATTTAAGGCTGGCATTATATCAACCCATCTGCTTCTGGAAGAGTAAAAAATCAGAATCATTCACCCTGCAGATTGCTTGTGATTATGTGAAAGGTAAGTCTTAACTTTTAAAGTGTTATATGAGATAGGTTGGAGGGTTTTTTTTTTTTTTTTACAAAAAGCAATTTCCAGTTTAACAGTTACCCAAGAATTTCTGAGTACCAATGAAAGCAGACTTATCCCTGGAGAATGCATTCATTCATAAGGCAAGACAGGAGCTCAGAGATGACAGTGGTAAATAGGCAGGAGAATCAAGGGCCGTTTCAATTGTGGCATCAGGAAAGAAGACAGGAATGGTGGGAATGACAAAGCTTTCATCTATGAGCTGTCTCAGAGGAGTTAGCACATGCTTCCCTCTATCCATGGTTTTGTTTTCATGGTTTCAGTTATTTGAGATCAACCTTGATCTGAAGATATTAAATGAATATTTTTTGTGGATGGGAGCGTGCATGAGAGTGCAGATTCATATAACTTATTACAGTATATTTTTATAAATGGTCTTTTTTATTATTAGTGCTCTTAGGCTCCTACTATGCTAAATTCATAAATTAAACTGCCAATAGGTTTACATGTATAGGGAAGAAGATAGCTATATATATGGTTTAATACTATCTGCGCTTTCAGGGATCCACTTAGGGTCTTGGAACATATCCCCTGAGGATAAGTGGAGCTACTGTAGCCCCTGCTGTTTTCTTCTTTCCTATTTAGGGGATTTTCCAAAGAGTTGTGGGTAGGTGATGGAGAAGAGGTATTTAAAGACCTTGGCAAACTGCAGGGAGAAGTCTGGGGCACATGTAAGCTTGTCCCCATCAGGTGCCAGTATTTGGAAAGAGGAACATCAACCCAGTTCTGTTTTGTAAAAATTAACCCTCTTACATACATCTTCTTAATATCTTTTGTTGTTGTTCCTGCCAACATTTTATCACAGGCCATCTGTCGAAAACCTCACACAAGGTGAGGAGTTTCCAGTCCCAAAGTTTTTTTTGACAAAATGTGCAGGTACATTTGCTGCTCCCAGAAAGGAATGATCAACTTCAGATTTCAAATCCTGTCATTAATTATTGATTTACAACATGATTTTCTTGGGTAAACCTTGCAAGCCTAGCCTTAATGGCCAATGGGCCCCATGTTTATTAGGTAAATTTAACGGAAGATCCCAGAAAATCAGCTCTCATTTCATCTTGCAGGTCTATATTGTGAGGCTTTCCTTTATCAGTAATCATACTTTTGCTGGAGTATAAATGAGCAGGCTCTTAGGCATGACTTTTGAAGGATAAAATAGAGTGTTACCAAGAGATTTATGTCAATTGTTTGCCAAAGTACCAAGAGAAACACCTTCTGTTGCCTACCAAAGTCTAAAGTCAGTAGTCAAATAATATGTAATTCCTCAAAATTTCTACACACAAAGCCAGAAGAACTCCAGAACTCTTCCATCAGAAAATATTAAAGGTTTTAGCCAAAAGGAATTGAATGGTGCTACTCAAGCCAATGGTATTAGTCAGTGGAAATAACCAGGCATATAATGTATTAGTCTAAAGGGGAATGGCAATTTCAGTGTTAAAGATAAGTCTTTACCTAAGTACCAGGTAGAATGAATGGCTTTGACCCAAAAGGTTTGTTATTGGTTCACATGCTTCAAAATTCAGTGGCATTCTCATGTGAGCTATAGGTGTCCAGAACATAGAAAAAGGGATAAAAACAGACCCAAATGAAAGTTTAAAAAGAGCATAATCCGATTCTTCTTCAGTTAGAAGATAACTGTAAAAATTAGAAATAAAGGACACAGACATAAAATTAAAATGGAACCCAGTGTCTCCCTCCAATCTCTTTAAATTCCTGATACATCTTTTTGCCAAGTCTTAGCCTTCGAAGGTGAAAATGATCTATTCATTTTCTTTCCTAGGAAGCCTGAAGACCCATTCTGTGTTGTTGGACAGTTTCTCAGCACAGCTCCTGAAGGTAAAACAAATGTCCTGATACAGAGATGAAGGGAGACCCTGAAAGCATAAGGTGATTTAGGTGGGCCTCTATTCAATTCCACTTCTCTAACATTTCATTCTCTCATTTGTACTTCTAATATAAAAATATATTTATCCCTACTCAAGTAATAGAAAGTGACAAAAGTCAAGTTTCAATGGAGGTGAGATTTAAATAATCCATTTATCAAGAGTCACAGAAGATTATAAGTTCTGGACTCTTGTGAGAACTGAGAACATAATATAAAAAGGAACCTAAGAATTACACCAATAGTGAGGATGTAGAAAATTAAATGTTTATCTGGTTACCTGTAAATTCATTACTGCAATCCTTTAGGCAGGAAGTAGCCAATTCTTCTGGAATTAGTCAATTTACTTTCATGGTCTGAACACTTATGAGGGTGATATATCCTACATATCCCCAATATATATACATTAAAGCCTAGTCCAAATATTATTTCTATAAGTTATATTGCATTTAGAAATATTTCAGAGGAGTACCATTCTATTTTAATGTTGGCCAGGTTGGATTTTATGGAACTCTAGTTTCTGAAGATATTAACAGTTAATCATGAACTGACCTGTTTCATGCTCAAATCAATTAGAGAAACTCCAGGGTAAAATTATTAAACAGGATTTTTTTTTTTTTGGTAGTACCAGGGATTGAACTCGGGTCCTTGCGCTTGCACAGCAGGCAGCAAAACCACTGAGCTAAATCCCTGGCCCTAAACAGGATTCTTGTTACAATATTTTTCGGAGAATTTACCAGGTATATATAGACTTTGAACCTTTGAGGGATGGTTATAGAATGTTACATTTGCCCAACCTATTGGTTAGTGTGACTCTGGGAAAATGCTTAGCAACAGCTAAACTATTTTATAGATCAGTGTATGGAAACCTATAGAGTGCAGTCTCTCTTCTTCAAGTGGAATAACATCTAAATCTTTTAACCAAATCTTTTTATGGATAAGTTAACTTTAATGCAATTTCATTTCACTCAGGTGTTGTTAGTCAACTCAATTTGACAGAAAATTCCAGTTGCAAAGATTTTTCATTAATTGCTCAGTTCCATTGATTGTTCACATATGCTGTCTCTGACAGTTAAATACTTGATGTATATGGTGTTGCAAAATTAAAATGAATTAGTTTTTGTGTTAGATGATTCCTTCCACCTTTTTTCTTCTTTTTTAATTTGGAAAGACCTATTTGATTTGCACTTGCATTGGGACTTTGATAGAATGTATAACATTGCTTGATTTGTATTATTAGATATAAAAGGTTACACATAGTAACATAATTTCTAGAAGATCTATGATAGTTACCAGGAAAGTCAAATGAAGTATTACTCAAACAGGAAATTCTTCAGTCTTTTTCAAGGAAGAAATAAGTTTAACTGTGTTGCTATCAAATTGCCAAAATGATTTTTATACTTGTCACTTTTTTATTGGGGTCAGTTTTATTTTACTAAACTTTCTTGAAATTTCAAATATTAAAAAAGGCAGCTTTTTGAAAGTCAGACCCCCAATCTGGCAGGCACATCAAGAAGGAAATCCCAGAAACCTTCTTTAGCTTACATCCAATACAAAAATGGGGACACTTTTCAAGTCTCTCTCAAACTATGAAAAATAGAGAAACGTCTTATTTATGCTAATTAAATCTATGATATTTCACAAATACAGTTCATAGTCAATGCTGTGTAAGATTATATGAATATATACTTTGAAAGCCATTTCATCCACATTTGGCCAAACTGAATCTTTATACCACATCACTGGTAGTCATGTCATGATGAATTAAAAGAAAACCTGAATGTTTAATTTTGACTACCAGTCATTAATATCAACTAAATTTCATAAATTCCTTGGGTAGGGGAGTAAAAGAATCACCACAATTTCCCATATTTATGGAGCTATAGTCTTAATTTTTCCTCAGTGAGGTAAAAATCAGTAGTTTTTACTTTGCCTAATAGTTTCTTACCTCTTTAAAAGAAAAACAGATTCCTCTAATTTACATAAGATAATTTAAAAAATAAAACCAGATATCCACTTGATAAGGAGGCAGGAAGAAACCTTGATGCTGTCTATTGAAGGTAGCACCAAGCATACATTATTGTAATAGAGAACGTCAGAGTGGCAGTAGCTGGATTTTCCTTTAACTGGCAGTAATCTAATCTTCAGATAACTATCACACTTTAAACACATCCTTAGTTGCATTTCCATCATGTTAAACATGGATCATCTTGGTTTATGTTGGCATTTTAAAAGAAATTCTCTTAATTCAGAGAGCTTTTGAACAACAAAATTATTGATCTTAGCTACTGGTGAATTTTACCCAATGGTTATATATAATCACCTCCTATTTTCTATAACTCACTCATAGTGACTGGTGAAAAAAATCAGGGGTGGTTAAACTGGGTTATTTTCATTACAAACACCTACCTTGCACTTTACAGGGACATCTAGCGGCACACCTCCTTCAGGAGAAATCAAGGGCTGTGTTACAGTAAATTGGTCCAGTGTGATATTACAAGTATAAAAAATATTCCATTCTGTATCAAAACTAGGCACATGCCTTTATTTATGGTAACAGAAGTTAACAGAGTTGAGGAGTTTTGCCTCGGGTCCTGTTTCTTGGCATCCTACACCAGACATACATATCTCTCAACACATCTCTGCCCATTACTCCAGGGATCTAGTCTCAAGCTGATCTGTAGGTAAAGGAAGGTGAAATCACACTTGGATCTATAGTGGTGAGTAACTAAAAGCACAACCTCTCATTCATATTGCTTTAAAACATATACAGCATATATGTTAAAAAAGAAAAGAATATATTGATCTCTTTTTGGTGCTGATCCAACAGTATGGTATGATGCAAGGCTTTAACAAATGATAATCATAGATACAAAATTTTCTGTAGAGTATGTTTTAGACAAATGTGTCTTTAATATGTAAATCCTACACTGTAGGTTGTTCTTATTTTTTCTTTTGTTTTTGCAGTGGTAGAAAATGCTGAATAATTGTCCATGAGCATGAGCCAAAGGTTCAGGTTCATTACTGAGATCCCCAGAATGCCAGTATTTGCAATGCAAACAATTAGTATCCCACTGTGTGAAGGGCTCTGACACATGCCTGCCTGCCTGCCTCTACATGGAGAGTCTCCATAAGAAGTCCTCCTGCTTCCATGGACCCTGCTTTGACACAGGGGCAGCTTCATGAAGCTGCCTCTCAGCCTAGTGATTTATTGTGCCAGATCGTCTTACTGATTACCAACAATAACACAGAGACAGTAGTGAAAGTGGTAGACCCTCAAATCATTTTCATGTTGAACCTCCTGGGTCCAGCCACCTCCCCTTCCACAACAGCACCATTGTTTTTTCGGGGCACATATTCAAGGTCAATGCTGTTTTTGTGCTTGCCTTTCCCTCGGCTCCACACAAAAAGGAGGAGAAAACAAAATAAAACCACTCCCAGGAATGTGAAACAGCCCATGGCTGTAGATACCAGTATTGTTTTAAGGTCCAGGGAAAAAGTATTAGCATTGGTGCCATTGGAAATAGTGTCATTGGAGTCCGTCATGTACATAGGGGTCCTATTTGCGTATAGGAAGCGATCTGAAGTGAATCCTTTCACAGTTAAGGAGGCTGTGAAGGTGTCATTCCCAGCAGCATTGCTAGCGATGCAAACATACATCCCACTGTCTTGATCCTGGGCAAAGCGGATTTCCAAGGTGCCATCACCCAACACGGTGGCTCTGCCGTTGGACTTGGTGGTGATAAAACGCCTTCTAGGTGTCACCCAGGAAATCACAGGCTGTGGGTCTCCATCAGCACTGCATTCAAGCTGGACTGTCTGCCCTTCATCCACAAGCATGTGCTGCAACTTCTTTTCACGGATTTTGGGTTTTTTGCAGGTAAAGTAAAAAGAAAGGGCAGTGCTATGAAAATCCTTGAATGATCTCTCACGGATGGTGTCTGGGCCAGCACACATGGGTTGCTGGCCACCAAACTGCAGGGTGGGCTGTCTCTGCAGGATCCAGAGGAGACGACAGTCACAGGTCAATGGATTATTATTAATGCTCAAGACCTCCAAAGCTCGAGGGTAGGAGAAGACATTCTCTTCCAAAGTTTCCAGCAGGTTCTGAGACACATTGAGCACACGCAGAAAGCGGAGCCCTTGGAATGAGTGAGGTTCAATGGTGCGGAGCTGGGCTCCCACTATATGAAGCTCTTGAAGGCGGATCAGATCAGAGAACATGCCTGCTTCAATAGTGCTGATGGGATTGTAGGAGAGGTTAAGGTGGGTCAGGTATACAAGGTGTTTAAAGGCAAGGAAGGGTACAGTGGATAGGTTAGTGTTAGTGATTGACAGGGATGTGAGATTGAGACCATAGAGGCTATTGGCAGGCATTATATCCAGTAAAGGCCAGTAATCAATCTCTAAGTGTTTCAGGTGGAATAATCTTTTAAAGGCATACACGGGCATATTGTTGATATTAAGATGCTTCAGGTGCAGGCTGATGAGGCTGCGGAGGTGGGAGAGGGCTTCTGTTGGCACCGCTGTTAAATTGCATTTCTCCAGGGTGAGTTGTTCCAAGCTAAGTAGCCCACTGAAGGCCCTGTGTGATATGTAAACCAAATCATTGTCTCCCACTTCTAGAGACTTCAGATTATGCAGATCCTGAAACATGTAGTCCAGTAAAATAACAATCTTATTCTCACTAATGTCAAGCTTGGTAAGGTTGGACAGCCCCGTGAATACTCCTAAAGGGACCAACTTCAAGCGATTGCCCTTTAGGCGGAGGCAACGCAGGTTAAAGAGATTGTTAAATGCTCCTGGTTCCACATTGGCGATGATGTTGTCACTTAAGTCTATCTCTTCCAGTAGAGGGTATGATATAAATTCTTCAGGGTTGACGCTTTTCAGCCTGTTTTTGCTGAGGTCCAAGATCTTGGTCTCGATGGGAATGCCCTCTGGGATGGCAATCAAACGCCTTCTGTGGCAGCTAACAGATTTGTTCTGGGCAGAGCACTCACAGCGGGCAGGGCAGCCAATGGTGGATCCCATGAAGATCAACAGCACAGCCAGACCCAGGAATGGCTGCCAGCATGACACGGCCGTGTGAAGCATGACTCCACTTCTTGGTCTACACCTTGGTCACGGGCCTGCACAGGAGTGGTAAAGAAGGAAGAGAAGTTGAGTTAGGTGACAGATGTGTAAAGAGGCATAAGTAAGGCAGCAATGGAAAAGAAGCTGGACCTGGTAGTAATCATGTCTGGGTTTGTACCTGAGGGTTCCTGTTACTACCTACGTGATTTTGGACAAGTTGTTTTACCTTTCTGCACTATGGAGTTCTTGGCTATAAAATAAAGACAATGGAGGGACTAATTATAATAGCTTCATAGAGCTATCATGTCAAATTCAGGGTTTGACAACTATAAAGAGGCAAATTAAGGGTCTGACACAGACTGTGAGGCAAAACAGCATACATTTCACACACAAAAGGCTGTTTTGAATTTGAATGTGAGAAACAGAGGTCAATGGCTAAGAGGAAACCAGTTTTGTGCGAATGAGTGTGTGTGCTCTATCTCTGTCTGGGAGATCACCCTTCATTCAAAATGAAGCTAATAGAAGTTCCATTCAACATCAAGCCCTTGATTCAATAGTTATATCCAATTGAAAATGTTGAGATTTTTTTATATAGATATTCTAATAAAGAACTTTCACTTTTGAGAAACACCTTTGTCAGACTTGGGGGAATTTTGATTTATGAAGGTATTTTCTTATTTATGACAAGCAAATATTTGCCTGTACTGTTTCCCTGTATTGTTTTTGTGTTTCTTTTAGGGATAAGGCAGAATTAAGGGACTATCATGGCTGTGGTGAACATGCTTCCTACGTGATTTTGTGTTACGTTCTAACCCTTGTCATTACTGAATATTTAAGGGAAAAAACTTTCAGTAATAATGGGTAAGCTGTCATTTTTTCATATTCAAATCAACTAGATCTGTTAAAGTGAAATTAAGTAGATACAAAATAAGTTTGGAAATAAGTATGTCTTTCATGTTTAAAGGAGATACTGAATTTATCGCTCAACTGAATTATAAAAGATATGTCACTGAACTGTTTCTCAATCTGAATTTTCCAGGATTACATTCATATTTCATGAAAGGTTAAATACTTTGAAACAATATTTTTAGATAAAAAGGTATTTGATAAATTTCAGCATTCACTCCTGAACTATAAAAGAAAAATTAGTAATTTCATCAGTATTTACACATATGAAATGTGATAAAAATACAGTAAATACTATCTAAGTAAAATATTTACTACAGGAAAAAGACATTACTATCACTCTTCATCACCACATTTTTTGATCATACCATGTAGCTATGTCTGTATCTACGGCTATATATCTAAACAAAGTTATGCATGTAAATAACAAGTATAATCAAACTTAATGATGAATCACTAAAGCATTAGAAGTATCCTCTCAAACTGGAGAAACAAGAAAAGATTCAGAAAGTGTTAGCCAAATAAATTAGACAGGAATATAAACTATAACTGAGTTATAATTGGAAAATATGTGGCAAAGCTATCATTATTTATAGGTCAAATTAATATCTTGCATAAAATCCAACTGAGCTAAAATGAAAAACTATTAGAACAAATAGAAAAAATTAGCATGCTAAAAAATATAATTTACTTATATATAAAAGTCACATAGAAAATTTTGTAAACTTTCAGTCAACATCATTTCTGAAAAATATGAAATTTTATAAAATAACAAATACATAGAACTAATATAACACCTATTAAATCCTACTGAGGCACCAAAATACAGTTATATAGAGGGATATACTATAGACAGATTAAATATTATATGAACATTCTCAAAAAACAAAGAATAAAACTTTTAAACTTGAAAAATTATTTCTAAGGTTGAAATAATTGAACAAATATACAGATGTATGAAACAAATTTTAGTTTTATTTTGATTTCTCAGAGCTAATAGTTGTCACATTCTGTATTTCTTAAGTTTGTTCTGGTTTGTCTATAACATAGGAAAACTGGAAATGTGTAATAGAGCTCAGTTATATAAACTATGATATGATGATACAATAAAATGCCATGTGGGCAATGTACCATAGAATTATGTTTGGAAAAACATGCACATGAGAATAAGCAGAAACATTTTTTTCTTTTGGTACTGGGGATCAAACTCGGGTCCTTGCGCTTGCACAGCAGGCGGCGAAACCACTGAGCTAAATCCCTGGCCCTGAAACATTTAAAAAAATGATAAAATGTTTTATTGTATATTTAAATATGAGATGCAAAAGTATAATAAAACTATGATATTGACACAAAAATATATAGGTAACAAAGAGTAAGAAATAGCATCTAGATATACTTGAAAATTCTGTTATGTTAAAGTAATAAGGAAAATATAAATAATTGGGTAGATATTTAGTCAAAAAAGCTGCACTTCACATCCACCCCTTCTAATAAAATATATTCTAGATGAATTAAGAATTAAAACGAAAAAGTACTAGAAGAAAATTCAATAATATATTAGAGCTGAGAAGCACTTTCTATGATCAAAGCTAAAAACTATGAAGAAAACTAATCATTTCTGTTGTACTTAAAAATATTGCTATAACAGGAAAATATGACACACCCACATATACACACAAGTAATTGCTAACCTGGAGAATGTATTTTAAAATCATATGACAGATAATGGATTAAAGACAGTAATAAGCAGCTGTTATGTCAAAAGGAAGACAATGCATGTACTAAAAACTAGAAATAGCTAATATATGAAAAGGTGATCAACTTCAGTTACACAATAGAGGTAAACAGTTTTTGCCTGTCAGATTGAGAAAACTCAATTATTTTCAGCCCAGTTTAAGGGTAGAAATATATCTATGTGCTGACATAAGAAATATAAATTGGTACAACCTTCAGGATTGATAGGTCTAATTTAAATAATTCAAGTTTAATATGTTCATCCTTTAGATCAAAAATTTTCAACTTCTAGAAATGAATCATTAAGAAAAGGTATAATAGATAATGTGAAATAGGAAGAAAAGGGGAAGGAGAAGTGGGAGGGGTTTGGAATTAATATGAGGAAATGGAAACAAAGTCTTTGTAAATAGGGAGGGGTGGAGGGGTTGAAGGGAGGGCAGGGGAATGGGGAAAAAATAAGAACCAAGATGGATTATGTAAAGGTACAAATTTCCAATGATGAATGTAATATTGTATATCTAAAATGTACCAATTAATAAAAAAAGTAATTGAATAAACATGTATATTTGGTACTGATTTGTCTACAATAGAGGAAAACTGAAAAATTACAATAAGAGTTCAGTTATGTAAATTAGGCTCTAGCCATACAATAAAATACAAGGTAGCCAATATACTATAAAATTTACATAGGAAGATGAAATTATGATGTATACTCTCATTTGTGTGTACAAATGTACATAAATATGTATAAAATTATGTTATTGGGTAGCAATACATTTAGTATTTATAAGAAACATCTTTACCCAAAGTGATCGTATCATTCAACATTCTAACTGGCAATGAATGAATGTTTCAGGGGCTCTACTACCCTCCAACATGAATATTGTCAGTCTTTTATGATAGCCATTCTAGTGAGTATATAATATCATCCCAACAACTAGTGATGGCAAATATCTTTTTGTGTTTATCATCTAGTTACACAGATTTTTTGTTAAATCTGATATTTAGTATATTTTGCTTTTAATTGGTTTGTATTTTATTATGGAGATGTAAAAATTATGTATATATTCTAAATACCAAATCTTTATTAGATATATGTATAGTGATCATTTTCTGCTAATTTTTGTTTTATCTTCTCATCCCCCCTGCCTTTAGTTTTAGTAATGGGAATTGAATCCAGGGTCTTCACACTGAGCTGCACCTCAGCCTTTTTCTTTTTCTTTGAGATAAGGCCTTGCTAAGTTGCTCAGGTTGGGCTTGAACTCACTATCCACCTGACTTAGCTTTCCAGAGTGCTGGAATTACAGGTTTGCACCAACACATCAGGCTATCTTTTCAATTTTGTTTTTGGTACCAGGGATCAAACTTCGGTCCTTGTGCTTGCGAGGCAGGCGGAGGAACCACTGAGCTAAATCCCTGGCCCTCTTTCAGTTTCTTATTGGTGTGCTTTAAAGACCAGAGGTTTTAAAACCTGATTAAGTCCACTTCAATATTTTTCCTTTTTATGATTTACACTTTTGTGTTCCATCCAAGATCTTTCCCTATGCTAATGTAGTGAAGATTTTCCTGTATGTGTTCTGAAAATTTTATAGTTCTATAATTTATATTTAGGTCTATGATCGTATGACAATCAACCTGGATGGTCAACTTGATTGGCTTGAGGGTACCTATGGGGATTAATAAAGCTCATGTCTGTGTAGGTCATAAATGCATGGCCTTTGGCACTGAACCTTGTCCCTGATTCCTTCCTTTCTGGCTCTGCTCCTCAGCTTTGCTTCCCAGCAATGAGACAGCTGACTGATATAGATCCATTTTGAATAAATTTTTGTGTATGATATGAGGCAGACAGAGATTTGTTCTCTCTGATAGCTATTTAGTTTTTCAAGTGTTATTTCTTAAAAAGACTTGTCTCTCTATTGCAGTACCCTGGGACATTTGTCTAAAATCAGCTGACCATATACAAGTATGTATGTGCCTATTCGTGGATTCTATTTGGCTTCATCAATTTATATATCTGTCCTTTCACCAAAACTATTTTGGTTACTGTAGCTATTTATAGTAAGTTTAAGTCTTGAAATCAGATATTAGTCCTCCAGGTTTTATCTTCTTTTCACAGAATTTTTGGCTCTTATAATTCATTTGAATTTCCATATATATTTTAGTATCAGCTTGTTATTTTCTGAAAAAAAGATTGAGATACTCGTAATAATTGTGTTGATAATATACAGATTGGTGGAGAATTGATAGTGCAATAACATTTGAGTTTTCCTATCTAGAAGGTGGTATTCCCTTCATTCATTTAGATGTTCTTTAATTTTCTTCAGCAAATGTTCTTTCATTCATAATTTTAATTTTTCTCTTTCAATTTTTATACTGTTCTGTATCTTTTTGTATATGATAATACCACTAATGCAGT